TCAATAGCTGCCCTCTCCAAGGATTGGTTGCCTGCCTCTCTCTCTCTCTCTCTCTCTCTCTGTTGGAGAGGGTAAGACACAATGCCTTATTTGAGACTTTAACCCTGAGAGAAAATTAAATCTCAAAAAACCTTAACCAATGTCATAATTTTGTCATGGGTGTGGTTTGTATAGAGCCAAGGCTCTAATCAATCAGCTTAAAACCACCTTCAAATAATGTCGAGAAATATGGTTTCAATACTGAAAATCTGTGGTAGCCTTAAAAGATATTTTTATCTTTAATTATATAATTTAAAGCTTTAAAAATAGTGTAGGTTGAGTAAATATATGAAATCTTGAAAATTGACGGTGCAAAAATGTTTTACGAGATGCACTATTTCCAAAACTTGAAATCCGTTTCTTTTTCATGTCCGTGCATCTTGATGTCGAGATGATCAATTTGAGCATCAAAACAACTTCGAGTGAAATTTTTGAGGTGGGCTTTAATTTGATTGTTTGGAGCCTCGGCTCCAAATAAACTTTTCTCTTTTTTTATTAGGAAAACGGACGTAGCTCCTCTTGAAACCTGCAGAAAATTTGAAAAAAGAAAATTTTACTATAATTCCCAGATTCAAAATTAAGTTACAGGTGCGAAAGATTGAAAATTTATTGGTCGAAGGAATATTAAGAGGGAAAATCAGACAAGAAAAATGAAAGAAATCATGGGTCTCATCTTCCATCAAGGCTGATCATATCCATGACAGCGACAAAATTAAGGTTCACATAGAACCATAAAGTCACTGTTTTGAATTGGACTGGTTGCTGACTCAGTAAGGGATCTGGTCATATAAAAATTGGGTAAACTGACAGTCATACTGCTTGAACTGTTTTTTAAATAAATAAATATAAGAATAATAATTAAAATATGAAATATATTAAGAAAAGGGTCTCCACTTGTTTTTCAGTTTTGCTCCAAAGTTGTGGCTTCCCCCTTTACTGACCTTTTCTTTTAAGAACTTAATTGAGAAATCCTTTTTTATTTTTAAAATCTAAGAATAGATTTATATATTTTATATTTTACGCTTAAGTCCTACTTTTAATAGTGAATATGTATTTTAGTTTTAGTTTTTTTTTCTATAATTCCTATTAAGCTTAAATTTTAAACATTTATTCTTTTCATAATAACACACTTGTAAACAATAATTAAAATATAATGGAATTGAATATTTAAAATATAATGAAATTGAATTGTGCTGAAAGATGTAGCATTGGTACCAAAAACCTTTGTGATGGCCTAAAAATTTATTCTCCCCCCTAATCAAGAAATTGAAAGATCTAAAAATAGTGCAGATTGAATAGATCTATAAACTCTTGAAAATTGAAAGTCTAGATTTTACGTGACAAGATGCACTAATTGAAATCAAATTTTTTTTATATCAAATACATCTTAGGTCGAGATGATCAATTGGAGGGGTTTGCAACATTGGAACAATCGTTTTTATGGGTTTATGTGGTACACCGTACTTCTAAAGTATATGGTTGACACTTTTATCAACTTTTTCTTAAATTAAGACCATAATCACATAACCCAATATTTCAGCGCCTATCGATCTAGATAGGAAATCACCAATCCAATTCGGGAATCATCCGGGACCCATCCGGTTTCTAAAAAGTATGAATATTGCCCAAAAAAAAAAAAAAATCCACTTAAAAAAGAAAGAAAAAAACATTTGATACGCCCCATTTCATAGAAAAAAACATTTGATACGCCCCATTTCATAATTTTTTTTGAGCACTGGATGCCCAATTCAAACCAATTTGGATCGATGATCCAACGTAGATTTGTGGGATAGACAATCCATGCCATTAATCTCGGTTTGAAGCATTGTCAGCAAATAACAATAATTGTTTTTATTAAATACAAGTTATCTGTTTAGTGAATGGTGGATCTAGGCCTTCAACAACTCAAAATTACTTTTTCTTTTCTTGAATTATTTATTTTTCAAATGAAAGTCCTGCAAAATTTGAGCCGAAAAAGTACCTCTTAAGTAACTGCAAGTCATCTGTTTAGAAAGGAAATAAATAGAAGAAAACCAACGCAAAATGTTCTCCATTTTCTTTCATGGATCCTAAAAAAAATTGGTCTAGGTTACAAGTTTTTGTAATCCCATAGACCCCAATTTAAATCCAAATTGAATACCCAATCAACCTTAAACAACCCAAACCGCCCAAGAAAAGACTGTGACCGGGGTCTAATTCACCCGGTACCAACCTAATGTGGGCTCGCTTCAAACCGATTCGCACCCAAATCAACCTTATTCAAGTTACCACACTCAAAGAGTGCACCAAGTTGCCTACATGAAATGTGTGTGAGCCTAAAGCCACCTTCTTGCTCCCAAACTCATCCACCACTCCCAAACCCTCACAAACCTCGACCCGAAACTCGACCGCACGTTCGCTTCTCGGCTCCACATGCACCTTCTCAAAACCTAGAAGCCGCTTCCTAGGTGCGTTGTGCACTCTAGGTGGCGTTGAGAACAAAAGGACGGTATTGCCCCCATGCCGATCCCCCACATTCTTAACCTTCACATGTAAACTGAAGGTTAAATTAGGACATTTGCTACTGTGAAGCTCGACAGATTCACAGGCAGTAGAGAGGCAGGGATGGCCCTCTTCTAGGGGGATCGAGACTGTTGTAGGGGCTCGGATAAGGTGGTGAGAAAACTCAGTGTAGCTGAGGCCGTCTCCGAAAGAGTAGACGGTATCTCCGGTGTAGAACCGATATGTGCGGCCGGGGTAGCCAGTCGAAGTGTCAGGCCGCATGTTCATGTTCGTCATCGGGACCTTGGTGACGAAGTCTTGTGGGTACCATGTCACTGGCAATCTGCCGCCTGAAAGCTTGTCAAAAATGGTGTAAGAATTTGAATTTGATGAGATTATTACAATTAAAGATTGCATACAATGAGAACATTTACTTTTGGTATAGGAAGGTCACAATTACTTACAACCATCCGATATAAAATTTGATAGCTGGAGTGTGTCATAAAGTTCGAAAAAATTTCTTTTAAATTTTGAGCTTGATCAATGAAATAAATTCCGCCACCCAATGGTCAAAATTAGTTATGATCACCTTCTACCAAAAGTAAATGATCTCATTGTATACTTTTCCTACCATTAAAATCTAGAATTAACCAAAATAAACTTGAGATGGGAAAAGGGCAAGAAGAGTTTCATAACAAATAGCAATTTTTTTCGACTATATAAAGTTTCATGAAGCTCAGATGATGATGATGACGATATAGAGCTTGATTGCATTATTTTTGAGAATTTCAATCAGGTGTTACTCTCAGCATTCAAAGTTTCCAAACGAAATGGTACAAATGGCCATAAGGGCATCATTGTCCAAGTAATGGGTTAGATGGTGATGGAGAAAGAGTAGAACGCACCAAGTATATCACATTGTTTCGATTTCATGGACCAGCTCTATCATCATGCAACCATTTGATTGGACGGTGATGACTCTTGTAACCCCACTCCATACAGTCAAGGAATATATGTTCTGCTCCTATGGAAACATGATATCCATCTACACCCTCGGGCCAAAAACCTATTAATTCTTTTGAATATTGAATTTTGGGAGCTACCTAAGAATCACTCGATGATTATTTTCAAAAGAGAATATTTAAATTTTATGTTTTCCAACACTTAGAACTCACTCTCAAAAATTGAAAGATATCATTTTAATCTTGAGATAGTATTTTCTTCAAGTGCATAAAGAGTGCAATTTGGATTTTTTCTTTATTGAAGTGAGTACTATGGGTTGATGATATTACATATCTAAAATTTAGGATAAAAAATTACTTCTAAATTGGATGCAGAGGGGGTAAATAGAATGCAGGAGCATGAAATCCTTTTGCATTAATATTGAATAAATTTCCCTTGACAAATGAACAATTCTAGTGCTCATCGAGTCCATGCAACGTGCTAATTTGGAGATAGGGATGTCAAACTTAGAAACTTGTTGCGCATGATTAAAGGATGAGCTTACACAACTTTGTTAGAAAAATGCTTAAAACCCCAAACAATAGTATAACATACTGTAAATTGGCAATCATCTTTTCACGATAATATCACAAAACAAGAGAAAGAATCTCACCAGGATTGTGAACCCCGAATATGACATCAGCTATGGCCGCTCCCCCGGCTTCGCCAGGGTAACCGACCCAAATAATGCTCGTAATCTTGTCATCGATCTTAGCAAATGATATGTCCATCGGGCCACCAGACATCACAATAAGAATGACTGGCCCGTTAGTTGCATTGGCAACCGCAGATATTAGCTTTTGTTGTGCCCCAGGGAGGGTGATGTCTGTACGGTCACGATCCTCGGCCTCGATGGATTGGTCTGCACCCATTATGAGGATGGTGGCATCAGCTTCTGATGCTGCCTTCTTGGCTGCATCGAGCTGGAGTCCGGACTCGGCGCAAGCCACATTTTGGCAACCCGGGTTGTAGACTGTACTCACTGAGGCTGAGATTCCTTGTAGGGGAGTTGTGTACTTGCACGGCGTCCCTATTGTTTATTTCAAAATCCAACAAGAATTAGTATTGTGGATTTTGTCATGGGAAAGGCTAAATTTCGATCTAAATGTATTTTCGACTTGCAGAAGTACATAGTCATGAGGGCGATCATGGTACCATCAATGGGTGAATGCTGATGAAGTGGGGATGGTGCCACCAATTGGAGCTATGCCACGTTTGTAAGATCCCACTCTTTTTCAGTCATTGTCCAACAATTGATTTGACTGTGATGACCCCTCATGACTATGGGCCTCCCATAGCCATGAGGACTATAGTATGCTTTGACAAAATGTTTTTTTTTTGTGAGTGTGCAGTCTGTGTTACATGTACCATGGTGTTCACTTAGGTAAATGAACTACGGTATGTGTTGCCCCTTTCATTGGTTTACAAAAACTTCACTAAGGTTGTAGTGGTAGCACTCACACACACTAGTTACGACGTTGTGGATTTCATTCCCATCAATAACACCATCCTACTAACAACACAACTACATAACACCATCCTAGTAACAACACAACTTCAAAAAGTGGTTTTTATTCCCATCAATAACACCATCCTACTAACAACTTCAAAAACACCATCCTACTAACAACTTCAAAAAATTAACACCATCCTACTAACAACTTCAAAAAAGTTAACTCCTAATCTACGTGAAAAAATAGGTCAAAATGGGAATTAACTTGAAAATTACAAGGTTGGTTATTGTAGATTTTTAAAATTTTTCTCAAAATGCCCCTCGGTCCGGGGATACCATACCATCCTCGGGCCGGTTTTAATTTTTTTTTGTTTTTTAGTTTCCTTCGCTATGTCCTATGTTTTAGGACAATTGGTGACCGGTTCGAGATCCCCATCCTCAGACCGCTTACATCATAGTCTTACACCGCATCACATGCGATCCGAAGTCCCCATCCTCGAACTACTCAAATTGTAGCGTCATATCATATTACAAGCGGTACGAAGTCTCCATCTCAAACCGCCTATAATGTGGTTGAACACCACAATGTGGGCAGTTTGGTGATGGGGATCTCAGACTGCTAATTGGATTGACCCTAAGCGAGCAGTCTGATATCTCCATCTTCAGACTGTCGATAATGTGGTATAATACCACAATCTGGGTAGCCCGAGGATGGGGACCTCGAACTGGTTGCCAACTATCTTAAAACATAGCACACAATAAAAAAAACCTAAAACAAAAAAAAAATTGAAATGGCCCGAGGATGGTATCCTCGGATTTAAGGGCATTTTGAAAAAAAACTAAAGAGTCTACTGACCTTCCTTGTAAGTCAATTTTTTTAAGTCAATTCGACTCTTTGTATTTTACCTATTTTTTTGTATGTGAGCGTAACTAGCTCTTTTCTTTTAGCAACACCAAATAATTGAGAAGAGGCTCTAATGATAATGATGATGAACTCTCCAATAACCCAAATAAAATTAAAAAACCCTCAATTTCCATTAGGGCATGAATAACCCTTAATCCATCATTAGTCTAAAATGTAAATAAACTCGAGATTTGGATTTTGAAGATCGAAAGAAATAACTTACACATGCTTACCTTCATAGTTTCCGATCATGGTTTTGGTGACATTAGCATTGGGGCCGATCACTGCTAATTTCTTGATGGCGGCCGGCGACAATGGCAGTGATCCAGCGCTGTTCTTCAAAAGGACAATGCCCTGCCTCGCTGCCTCCAGTGCTAGCTGCTGGTTTTCATGGGTGCAGACATCTTTTGGCCCCAATTTTCCATACAATTGGCTACGTGGGTCCCCGTCAAAGAAGCCGAGCCGCATCAAAACGGCCAAGTTGTTAGAGACCGCGTTATCGACAGCCGACTCATTCAATTTTCCGGCCTTAATTGCAGCCGGTGTGTGCTGACCCAAGAAGGATCCACAATTGAGATCCAATCCTTAAAAGAAGAAAGATCACAAAATGCTGATTATTTATCATTGGATACTGGTAAGGGATGGGTCAGTATTTGAAAAATCGAACCGAAATTGGCAAAGGGCTGGTTTTGAGTAACCAGCCTAACTGGACGGTCCAAAAAATGCTAAAAAAAATACAAACAAAATTCAAAAAATATATTTAAATCATTACTAAACAAAACACATCCAAATAAAATACAAATTAGTGAAAATTAGATTTTAAAATCCATTTGTACCTAGAGGTATTCTTGAAATTTTTCAAAAATATGGAAAAAATATAAAAATAAATATTCATGGTAAAAATACTTTCTAATATTCACGAAAATGATAAAAAACATTAAAAAAATATTACAAATAAATTTCTTGTTTTTTGGGACTTTACCTATATATTTTTTATTTTTTATTTGTGCCTAGTTTGTTATTCATGCCACCTTTAAGGTGGGAATTTTTGAGGTAATATGGCTTCTAGCATGAATAACAAATTATTTAGCAGCTACTCTCTCTCTCTCTACAAATGTAGCATGAATTTATATATATATATATATATATATATATATATGAAAAAGTCTTCCCAATATGAACAGTGATTTCGCCTGTGTTCATCACTGTCCAAAATACATCACACGGCCACGATTGTCCGGTAGTGTTTTAATTTTTATTTTTTTTATAAATCGGAATGATCTGAAATTTGGAATATGTGTACATCTTAGTGAGACACACCTAATAACAATATGAAAAAATTATTTCGTAAAATATAAATTACCAAAATACCCCCATAAAATATCAAGAGTATTTGGTCAATTTATATTTTACGAATTATTACTTTTATATATTTTTATTAGATTATCTTATTTTTGATGAACACACGCTCTAGATCATTCTGATTTATAGAAAAGAAAAATGAAACACTATCGGACAATTATGACCATGTGATGAACTTTGGACAGTGATGAACATAGGCGAAATCACTGTTCATTTCGCTTATAGGTTTTGTGTAGTGTTTTATATATATATATATATATACCAACCTACCTACCTACCAATCGATCCTTGTGCATGTTTGTGTCTTCTTTTGGGTGTTGTTTTCTCATTAGTATCACAACTCATGAATTCTTCAGACAAAATAACATGCACGTCTTTCTTTTACATGTGTGTGTTTTATTATATTCCTTTGGATTTTGTTTCTTGGATTCCCACTTTTTTGGTTTCACTGCAGTAATCTAATTATTTTTGGGTACACGTGCTATTAATTTACACACTGCTATATTATATGCAAAGGGGGCATGTAGGTTCTAAGGGCCTGTTTGGTAACTGAGAAAAGAATGTTTTTCTTGAAGTTGGGAAAAGCGTTGAATCTGCGTTTCCACAATTTTCGAGGAAACTTGCGCTGTTGATTTATCATCTCTCTTCCATCTCTTTGTCCAAGCTTTAGATTGAGTTTTCTTTAATTTTCATAAATAGGTTACCAAACAAGGAATCTCCACTTTCAACCACAAGTTTTCTACTTCTGCCTTTTTCATGGTCTTATTCATTCTACAGGAAAACAACTTTTTCACTTACCAAACAGGACTTTAAGGTGCAGCCTTACCAAATTTCATAAAGTTGCGGCCTCTTACGAAACTAAACCCTTGCAGGGAGTGATATGCAGTTCAGTTCACAAAGATTCCGTGGTCGATAATGGTCCAAAAAACGTGCAAATAGCACATGCATAAGTAACATTTATTCAATTTTATTGACATTTGAAGTCTATTCTTGCAAATTAAATAAAAAAAAATTGCATATGAATAAAAAGACTTCTAAAAAGATTTGGTGGGAGCAAACATAAATACATGCATTATGCTTATGTTCCACATAAAAATTAGCATTTTATTGAAACTTTTAAAGCCAGTTTCTCAATTTTAGCTTCGAAAATGGATAAAATATGAATTAATAAAAATGGAAATTGTAAATCGTGGGGACTTTTACCGGCCATAATTGTCTGGGCAGCAGCATCCTCAGGAGTTTTAGTGTACCGTTGTTTGTCATATAACACCTCCACTGAATCACAGTCTGAGACTATGTATCTGAAAGCAACCAGATTTTTATCACAAATTCTAAGAAATTAAATATTACTCGATCCATTCAATTCCCTAGAAACAAGACAAAGAGAAGGCCAACGTGGACTTCAATTATATTCTGAATGACTTACATTACAGAATAACCTCATTGATTTGTCGCGGCTTAGGGTATGTTTGGATACCACTTCAAACCATGGTTACGAGAGCCAAACCACAGACACAAAAACGAAGGTCGTTTAACAAACATTCCTCAGTGAAATTTGGTGAGTTCCAAATTTCACTGAAGTTGCAATTGAGGGTTGAATGGTAGCCGAATAACCTCAACAACAAAGTAAATTTAATGTAGTTTAGTTCGTAGCCATCTACGTTTAATTTTTTTTTGTCAAAATACCTATTAGAAATGAAGTATGTCAACATTTTGCTCAGTTGGATTTTCCATGGGTATTTTGAAGTTAAACAAAATAACATAGATAAAATGTTAAATTGTTCATCTCTCATGAGTAAATTGATAAATTTCTCAAAAAAAATGACAAATTGATTTTCATTTACAGCCAAACATGCACCAATTAACCTATTGGCCTCAAGATTTGAAGAAAAAATACCCATTTAAGTTCCATTCTCCTCTAACTGTCCCAGCTAAGAGATTAGGGTCTGCACATGTGGGGATGCCATTCACTTGGTTATAAGAGCACATCACACTTGCAACTTGCCCATCAATGACACAGCTCTTAAAGGGAGGCTGAAAAGTATCATCCATATCCTGTTTCGTTACCTATATAAACCCAATATTTTCATTAGTTACAGTGCTTACTTTTTTTCTGCAACAAGCATAGCAAAAATTAATAAAATATTAAAAAAATATGTACAACAAACTACTCAATCATTTTGAGTAGTTTTGATTAAACAAACTACCCAAAGAACAATTAAAAAAGCTTGTACTTCAGCTCAAGGTTTCATATTAAGAAATGCACTGCAACTATTGAAAGGGATAGCAAAGATTCAGCTCATAAATCTTTGTACATAGAAAAATTTTGATTTTTCTTTCCAAATTAGAAAGTAATAAAATTTTAGTAGTGGACAGAAATATCTCCATACTTTTAAGTTTTAACTACTTAAAATTTTTCCTAAAGATCATGGCTCGGGTTTAGGTGCGCCCGGGATTGCCTCTATTACAGTAGGGATTTTTTATCCAAAATTTAATGGTCTACCATCCGACCACCAAGATCGTGAATCTAAAAAGACTGAGTTTTGAGACTTTCAATGGTTTATTTTGTGTTTTTCCTTCAACCACGCATTTCAATTCTTCAAATATCATTACACTAAGGTCGTCCAAAGCATCGATCTGCGGCAAAAACATATTTATAGTGATTTGGGTTGTCCAATGTTCGCAAAATCGGCCGATCTAACAGCCCGGTTAGATCGGAATCAGCCGATTTCGGTTTTGGGTGTTTTTGATGATTAACCGGTGTTCTAAACTTTAAATAGAATATTAATTCAAATTCATATTAGATATATTAGAATAGTTTACTTGTTAGATTTGACGATTACGTTTGATCTCAATCATGGTTCAAATCTTGCCTTTAATATTAGGCGCTAACATTTACTATTGACACCAAATTATATGACTTAATTTTTTCTTCATTTTTTTTTTAAAAAAAAAGAGTTCGTCAAGTTGATTTTTTTAACATCGTTTTAATATTTTTATATTATGGTAAAGATTAAAAATTGGTTTGATCATTAATAGTCACGTTTATTTTTTTCCATCTTTTATGAAAATTTTAAAAAAACCTCTAAGTACATATCGATTCGCTAAAATCCATTTTTTTCATTAATTTTTAGCTTCATTTGAGTGTCGTTTTAATCATTCTTTATATGTTTTTCTTATTTTAGTATCTTGTTTATTTTTTTCAACACTTTTTTGACTAATCGGGACTTGTCTAGTTAAAACGGTTGAATCGACCAGTTTACCGGTTAGGCCAGTTAAACGACTTCCGGACCCGTATCCAGTTAACGGTTTCGCTTCGATTTTTGCAAACACTGGTTTCAACGCCCAAGTCTAGTCCAGGCGGAGGCGAGGCTTAGCGGACTCACCAAGGACCTTTTTTTGGGTAGGTACCACCAAATACTTTTCCAAAAATAATTGACTTTTCGTTCAGAAAAATAATTAATTTCTCATGCTCGGTAATGCCCATTTAAGTCATACACGTGCACATATAAAAAAACATACCCATAAAGGTGTGTGAGGAGAACTTTTTCTAGTACCCACGATTGATAGGGGCAGCCTACACGTATTATCCTTAGATAAAGTTAAGGTGCTTCCACTCAAAAAGGATCCTTTTCTCTTTTTTTTTGGAGTCAATCTCAAGGTATATTTTGATCCGGAAACGAGCATGGAAATTCCGAAATGGTCCTTCTTGAGATAAATAATTAAAAAGAAAAAAGAAGATTTATTAAAATGCACTTAAAACACTAACTATTTAATATCTTTTCATATGTTTTGATTTAATTTAAAATATGCCATCAGAATATACGTGATTGAAGAGTTGAAATTAGGCCCGGCAATGGGTTAGGAACCGACCTATCCCTATTGACCCGGCCCTAAAAGACTAGGGCCTTGACCACATGATGTGGCTCGAGGGTAGGGCCAGCTAAGTTCATCCTAGACCGACCTGGCCCTTCTTTTACTATATTTTTTCTTTTATTTACTAGTTGTATGTGGCCCGTCGTCCGCAGCCCGGTTTGGGGCAAGGACTCTTCCACTAAGTTAGGGTTGGGCCGGGCTTAGGTCGGCCCTATATGGACAAGGGTTGCGCTAAGGCCAAAGCTGGCCTGGTCTGGTCCATTTCAACCCTAGTTGAAGGTCGATTTCAACCCTAGTTGAAATAGTTGAAAATAATTAAAATATTAAATAATTGATATGTTAGGCCTGGGTGGGGGTTGGCCTGGGCTAGCCTTGCCCTGCATGGACTGGGCCGAATAGCCATGGACCAAGGCCGTGGTTACTAGATTGGAAGAAAACAAAAAAGAAATAATAAAGAAAGCATACGGTGGTGCTAGGCTAGCTCTGTTGTGACCCTGGCCTAGTTGGGCGCAGGCCCGCCCACGGTGGTCGCCATGGACTGTGAGGCCGCTTCCTAGCCCAGCCGTTGGCCTGCATTTTCTGAGTTCGATTACAATCTTTAAGCCATTGGGACTCTCGTATTTAAAGATGGTTCGAACGGTCCAGATGATCCAACGCTTAGCGTTAAAACCAATCTACAGCGTCTACAGAAGTTTTTTCGTGCATAATTAAAGATTATTAAATTTCATCCAGCAAAAATCAATATTACTGAATATCCCTCATTATTAATATGAATGCATATTTTAAAATGCGATAAAAATATTAAACAAAAGAACTTGGTCAAAAGTTTGACAAAGAAAACGACATCCTTTCCCCATACTCGTCATCATCGATTGTTATACAGAAATAGGACAAGATCCACCGCCCATCTCCACTCATTTTGCAAAGAAAAATTACAGAAGCGCCAAGGAAAAGGGAAGGCAAATAGTTGGAACTCATAAAGAGATTGCATAAAAGATAAAGGATAAATATAAACTACTACGATTTTTTATTTTTTATCTTTTTTAAAAAAGTTTATCAAAATACTCGTTAGAGATTAAGTATTTAACATGTTGCTCATTATTCAAGACTTTATTTGTGGATATTTTGAAATTAAATCAAAAGACATTGTTGAAGTGATAAATTGTCCGTCTCTCGAAGATAATTTGATAGATTTTTTTTTTCTAAAAAAAATTGAGAGAGAAAAATGACAGATGATGTGGGTCCACTCATCCTGGCTAAGTCTTGACTCATTTGAGATCGAGTAGGAGGTCTACTTAACCTGGACCCAACCAGGTACATTTTCCTGCCCAACTTGACATGGTACGTATATAATCCTAATCCTTACGACCTAGGATTGACCAACCCATGGCTCAACCTAGCCCATGTACATGTCTCAAATAGGAGAGGCAACGGGTCAGGTGGGTATTGTAGGACCTATGCCTGATCCAAAAAAATGACATGGGACTCGAACCTGGACCCGGATTCAACCCAAAAATTAAAATATCTATGTATTTAACTATATTAAAATATATTGGGACCTAAAAAATAGTATCGAATCCAGACCCCCAAATAGTATTTGGGTCCAAGATTTGGACCCAAACCCGACCTGCCGAGTCCAATTTTTAGACACATACTCAAATTTAGATCGGGTCTACCCATCGGGTCCGAGGTTGGGTCCAGGTCCATTGTCACCCACCTAGCCTAAGAGACCTCCTATTACACTAAAAAATAAAAATAAATGAATAAACAAACGGGCAAACTTCTATGTTTCTTCTACAGCATAAAAGTTCTATCCTCCCCCTTATCCAACCGTCCATTCTGAATGGAGGGTTAAGATTGCCCCAATCACAATGTCACCTCTCTATACAATTTTATTTTTAATTTTTTTTTATCAACTATCTTAACCCCAAATTTTGGACGTCCCTTCCTCTATTAAACTCGCACTAGCAAAAAATATAAAAAAAATATTTTCAATAAAATAAAATGACCAAAATATCGTTGAAAGTTTCAAGGGGTATTTTGGTCATTAAATTCCATCAAAAAATTATTTTTAATATTTTTTATAGGTGCGCCCCAATGAGAAGATGGCGAGTACAAATTTTCATATTCATACAATTTGTATAAAAAAAAAAAACTAAAAATAAAATACTTTGAGACTCGGATTGAAAATCAAACGGTGAATGATTCTCTTGATCAAAATCAGACGGCTGGATGGTAGGAGGAAGATAGAACTTCTATACGTACCAAAGGGGGAGTATAGAAACTTTTCCCTAAACAATAAATGTATTTTTTTTTTTTTTAAAAAGAGAGGGACCTGAAGCATGAGTGATACTTAAAGAAAGTCATGATAGAGTATCGACCATGCTACAATCTCTCACCAAAGAAATCCCCGTGATACACTCACTTGCCAACTCACTCCATAATTATCCACCACACGAGAGGAGAGAGAAAGGAGAGGAGGAGAGAGACTAAAATCCCAAGTACCTTAGCATTAAAATGGAATCGATCAACCCCTTTCCAATTATCCAAGTCATAAGCTGTGTAGTGTTTGCAACAAGCTGCAACTTTGAGCCTGTTTGGATCCCCATCATCACTCGATTGCAATCCCTTCACATAACCCACTGCGTATTTGCTAGTGAGAAGTGGGTCTTCTCCTGCTGTTTCTTGCCCTCTTCCCCATCTTGGGTCCCTAAAAATGTTTATATTTGGGCTCCAAAATGTGAGCCCTGCCAGACCCACATTGTACATTGCTCGAGCTTCCGTTGAGACCACCTGAAATCGATTCGATTCGATTTATTCGGATTCCAAATAACTTATTTTCAATTTTATTTTCCATGAATGTGAGAGGAGTGAGTGTGAAGTCTGGTGGATAAATGTAGCTTAAGGGCTATGTTTTCTTCAAATCAGTTGGTGAATTGGAGTTGGGTTTTAAGTTGGTAATGGAGATAACTGCAAATGTCTCTCTCTTTAGATTTGTTTTGGAATTTAAAGTTTCAGAAAAAGTACAATATATGTAATTTAGGCAGAGTATTATTTTACAAACCCATTGGATTTGGAGAGAGAGAGAGAGAGAGACTCAAATCAAATCTTGTTGAGAAGAAGAGTCAAATCAAATTTATTTTCGAAAACAGAGGCAGAGGCTCTCAAATCAAATTTATTGATTTAAACACAGACAAACACAGGAGAGAGAGAGAGAGAGGTTACAGTTCAAACTCATTGATGATAACGTCCATTACCAATGAGTAATCTGAAAACCCAACTGAAAGATTCTAAAAACAAGCCTATTAGTGTGACCAACAAAATAATTAGAGAGAGAAACAAATAATGCTTTTGCTTCTAAAAGAAACAACGCAAATCTCGCACAAACTGAACAAGCACTAAACCACCACGGAATCGGATATCTACGTGAAAAAGTAAAAGAAACTCTCCATGAAAAAGTCAAAACAGAAAAACAAAAGAAAAGGAAAACAAAAAAAATGCAAAACAGAAAGTGGATCTTCAAAAAAATATGCCAAAGACTCTTAGAGAGAGAGAATGGAGATAGGGAGAGAAACCTGTCTCCAACTCAAAAGCTGAAGAGAGAGAAACCAGTTCTAACAGAGAGATAGAGAGAGAGAGGGTTTAGAGAGAGAAAACCTGCCTTTCCAATGGCCTCCCAGAGGGAAGAATTGAATGAAGCAACAGAATGAATAACCTGAGGAAAACTTGTGGCACCAGGAACAAGCCCAGAGAAGTGGGTTCCAGGCCCAACATAGGAGACACCATGAAGGGCCTCAGACCACCACTCATAAGCAGGGATACCAAGCCTGCTCACCCCAACTCCTTTGTTAACCAAAAACCCAATTTTCTCACTCAATGTGAGCCTCTGAACCAGGTCCTGGACCCTCTCACTGAGCCCAAGTGAGCCATTGCAGAACCCATATGAGCCAACAGACGGGTCCTTTGATGTGTCACAAGCAAAAACAGGGGATTGGGCAAAGGCCCCATGAAAAGAAGCAATGCTCACAAAAACCCATGGCAAAACGAGCAGGGCTTTCTTATCAGTGAGGGCCATGTGTGAGAGTGGGTGATTTTCTTGGCTTGCTACTGGGCGGCCATTTTGAGAAACTGTTAGGCTTTTAGAGAGAGTGCGTATGTGAGTGAGTGTATTTGCAAATGGGGAAATGTAGATGAATTATATAAGAAGCTGGTGGAGATGTATACATAAAATCTTGTAATGACATGGGCATCCACTAATTTTTATTTTTTCCTTTTTATTGCCTTTTTTTTTTGGCTTTTTTTTCTTCTATGAGCTGGTCTTTGGGGATGAGATGGTCACATGAAAGATGACAATGTCTTGGGCGTCCTTATCCATTTGCTAATGTTAGAGAATATCACTTTTATGTTCCATAATGTCCTTAGATATTTGGAAAATGTTTATATTAGGTTGTAATCTTATATTATACAATTTATTTGGACACAAGGTTTTTAAGTATTTATATATCTTCCGTAGTTGGAATTTTCAATTCAAGCGTTAGGGTTGAGCATGAATGTTCGAGTTGTCATAAAGTTTCGAACATTAGAACTACATCTTCTGGCAAAATTTAGAAGTATGTTGTACTCTTATAGTATAATGTGGGCACCTTATACAAAGCTCACCCTATATATTTTGGATTTTTAAAAGTTGTGTGTTTTTTTTTTTTATATCATTTATTTCCTCATTTTGATAGTTTGATATTTGACCAAATTTGGAATCCATTGGCCTCAAATCAAGTGTCTTGGCTGCGTATAATCAAAAGTCATAACCCCAACCAAGATTTAGTTTTGAGAAGAACATTCAAATGAATATCTAAATTGCAATCCATGTGACATTAAACTGAATATCTAGAACTGCAATCGATACAAATAGAGGCGGTATTTTATGATAGTAATAATATGTTGTGATGATATGGACATTGGTGATATTGATTATATTGATATCGATGTCGACCTTGGTGAGAGTTGCCTAACATCTCATATATAGTGTTTTGATCTAAGATCATAATTGTTTCTTGTTTAAGCAATAGCATATTATTATATAAAGATAAACCTATGAGTTTCGAGTGAATGGATACTTTGAGATAAAACGAGAAAAAATGACCCTACTTGGGGTCTGACTTGGGGTGAGTTCGAATTCCAATCGAGGATAAATTTTCATAAGATATATTGTGAAACACCAGGAGTCCCAAGAAATTCTAAGGTTTTTTCACCCATTATCACCGGGCTCCCTATGTGATTCAATTCGAGCAAATCCCAACCCCCAAGTCAGAGAGGCAAGTTTTCAATCACTACAACATATCATACACTCTAAAGAATGGCTTTTATTTATGGGATTGTATACTATTAAGGCATTTATTTTTTGTATAAGGGGATAACAATTACTTTTCGTAATTGAATGTGAGTGAAATCGAATAGATAAAAGTGTGTAAAGACATTATTTTTTACTGTGTCCAACCAATAGCATAGCCTCAATCACCCCATTTAAAATCTAACGGTCAATGATAATTGTAACTTCCTCGTATCAAAATAAATGGTCTCATTATATACATTTTTTTTATAATTTCGTAGATTGCAATAATATGGAGCCATAACCCCAAAAATATTTAAAATCAATGGCATTTGCCTTCCAAGGATTTCAGAATGGGCAGTTAATGCAAGGACTTCAAGGGAAATTTCAAATCTAAGGGGACAAATTGGCCATCAAATTTGAACAATGAACGGCCAGATTTTGTTTTATTCAGCCCGTGATAAGTATGGAAAGGACAAAGGCTTGGCGGTAGGCATTTAATGACCCTGAAACCCAGAAATTCGAAATACTACCTGCATTGAGGAGAGAGAAGGAGGAGAGAGAAAGGGGTTGGTTTTTATTAATAATAATAAGTGGGTAGAAACTACGTAAATGCACCAGTTATCAAAGGGACATCAAAAGGGGATGTCGTTTTGATTATTTTAGCAAAGCTTAAATAGCTCTTTGAAGTTATAAATTTTTACCATGCGCTTTTAGAAAGATATGACTTTACCACCACCTAGTCACTCTCTCTAAAAAGACTCTCTCTCTCTCTAGAAGGATTTATATTTCAAACGTGTTTCCAAAAAAAGTCACTAACCCCACCCACTCTCTCTCTCTCTAAGAAACAAAAATATCTCTCACTTGAATGTGCTCTCTCTAAAAGGGGAAAAGTTTATATAGAGCTGAGGCTCTAAACAATCAAATAAGAGCCTATATCAAAAATTTCACTAGATGAGGTTGTTTTGATGTCTAAATATTACCAAATTTATCATCTCGACATCATGATGCATGAACATGAGAAAAAAATAGATTTCAAGTTCTGAAAACAGTGTATTTTGAAATGTATTTTTGGATCGTCAAATTTCAAGATTTTCAAGTTTTCATAGATATTTCGATCTACACTGTTTTTGTAGCTTTAAACTTTATAAATAAATATGAAAAATATATTTTAAGCCTATCACGAAGATTTTAAGTATTGAAACTACATTTCTTGGTAGTATTTGAAGGTAGGCTCTAATTTGATTGTTTAGAGCTTAGGCTCTACACAAACGGCATCCCTCTAAACAACACACGTGCATATGCACGGCTTGAAAAAATAAGAAAAATCCTAAACGTGACCTATGCAAATCCTTGCTTTATACAACTAGGCCCGTGAAGGCATTTGAGTGTGTTGCTTGAAATAAAGGCATCGTCAATACTCTCTCTCTCTAAAGAGAACACTCGAAATAAATACAAGACTCATGACAAATACGTACTGCCACTTGGTAATTAATAGTCACTTATTAGCACTTAATTAGCCACTTTATTGAGGTATCCCCTATAGAGAGAGAGTTGATTGTTGCAATTTACAGGCTCATTCTCATGCCTATCAAGGAGTTCTAGGCCAAATGGTTCCCAAATGGCTTATTGCAATTTTGAATTGGAGAATTGGAGAATTTTTCATGTATTTTTTATGGATGTTTGAAATGTTGGCTTTGAATATATAATGAGATCGTTTATTTTTTATATAAAGTAGTCACAATTACTTACAACTATCTCATGTGAAATTTGATAGCTTGGATATTATATAATGAGATCATTTACCTTTGATACAAGGTAGTCACAATTACTTACAACTATCCTATGTGAAATTTGATAGTTGGGATATGTCATAGTGTTCGAATTTTTTTTTTTTTTTAAGTTTGAACTTAGTCAATGCAATAATTGGACCCACTCAATTTCCATCCAATGGTCAAGATTAATGTGACCACTTTGTATTAATGGTAAATGGTCTCATTTTATATTTATACTTTATGTTTTTTTTCCATTTTTGGCAAAGATTGAAAAATATTTTGACCAGATACTTATTTTGTCTTTTCTTTTTTTTGAGAAATTGGAAAAATAACCTTAGTCACAAACTCATTTTTTAAAATCTATTTTTAGCTATTTTTTAACCACAATTTTACTTTCAATATATTTTCCTTTTTCTTTTCTTTTCGTTTGTTTAACCTTTCTAATAGCTTTCAGGTGCTATACTTGGGCTAAGTTAAGTGCTTGGCCGAGTCGAATTTTTTTAACATTGTTTCCAATCCTATAGAGAGAGTGTGTGTTAGGGCATTTGCGTGTGTTTTGATTGTTGCAATTGAGAAGGTTTGGCAGATCGCTTAGTCCCGTTCATCTTCGGCGCAAGAGCGCTCGATCAGCGAGCTAAATGATTTGTCCTAAGGAATCAGGTTTTTGATGTTCAACGAGAAAGACTTCCGCAGATCAAATGGATCTTAATGCCTCATACTAATTTTGAAAGACGGGGGCCCTTTCTCTTATATTTTCCACACTCTTGAAGTTTTTAGAGAGAGAAAGCTTATCCATTTAGTATAATAAGCCAAGTTTTGAGCACGAGCTCGAAATGATGGAGCCAACACGAGGTGAGTGCAGGCCGTAAACTCACTGAAGAGCACCAGAGGCTTGAAAGTGAGGAAAACCCCCAAACACAAACTAAAAAGAAGACATTGGTACTCTGCTTCCTTTCTCTCTCTACCCTTACCTCACGTGAACAAATAGATGCTCTCTCTCTCTCTCCTGTCAGGCCGAATAGGCTCGCTCGGGCCGCAGCCGGACCGGCTGGGTCGTTGGCTCGGTGACGGTGCTAACTGCGAATCTAATGAAACGAAGTATTTGCCTTGCATTAAATTATCTTCATAAGAGTATGTAATATTTTCTTGCTCAAGTAAAGTCCAGGTTTTTATATTGATTTCAAAACATTAAATACAATTTCTCCTATCTAAAAACCCGTTCATTAACTTAATGAAATAGCCGGTAACATTCAGAAAAAAAAAAAATGTCGTTAAAAACATGGATTGATATATGATCTAGCTGGTTAATGGTTCTTCAACCGATCCGAATATTATCTTAACATTAGTTTTATATTTTAAAATAATTAAAATTAGAATATTAAAAAAAAAATTGTGTAAGAATATTCGGCTGATCTGAATTGCCTGTTAGGAATCCTTTGTCCCTCATCTTCTAATTATAGGTAGCCAATTCTCAAATTTTCAAATTCTTCAACCGATTAGGAGATCATCTTTTATATTTTAAAATAATTTAAAATAAGTTATTAAAATAGTAAATTGGGTGAGAATATTCGGCTGAATTGCCTAGTAGGAATCGTTGGGGAAGATTTTATTTTGCCTCATCTTCTTATTATAGGAAGCACGATTTATATGGTTGGACTCACATTTTAATGCCAATTTTCAGATTTTCAAATCATCATCATCATCATTAGAGGTTTTTTCCAATTATTTGGGGTCGGCTAAATTCAAATTTTTAAATATTAATACAGGAACATTTCATCATAAAATCCCAAACTAAACAAAATTAGAGTTGATTCGGTCGAATTGGCTAAATTTTTGCCAAATTTGAGTGGGATAATGTCCCCAATTCATTCAATATAACATATGCTAATCTCAAAGTACAGCACACAAAAAAAAAAAAACAAGGGTGAGATTTGTATAGAGCCAAGGTTCTAAACAATCAAAGTAAAGCGCACATGCAAATGGTGTAGAGAAATACAGTTTTAATATTGGAAAACTTTGTGATAACCTTAAAATATATTTTTATCTTTAATTATAAAATTTAAAGCTTTT